AATGTCATCTCTTGACATAACTGGGCATGAAGTTAGACAAGAAAGAGTGGAGAAAATTTAGAAAACACACAGCTGAAGAAAAATGAAATATCTCAGCCACAGAGCTGGACCGATTGAGGAAGGAAGAGAATTTTGGCAAATTAAGTCAACAGTTTCCTTCCTCCAGAAACACAGAGCAGCTTGGAATGGAAATGCTTATCATGTAATGGTCTGTTCTCATGTGTCTCTGTCGAGCTGGTTTGTGGACAGTTAATGATTACCAAGGGGTCATTTTCTCCATTCTGTCTTATCTTCAATGTTCTCTAGTTGGGAGGGGAGTTAAAATGGGGGAATAAATGAAAACGTTTGATGCTAATAAGCAAGCAAAGGATTGTACCCTTGTTGCTAATCGTAGTCACCTTCTCACTTGCCTGAGCCAACACAACTGCTCAGCCATGTTTTACTGGCCTCATCTGCCTGCTGAATTTACTACCACAGCTTTTGAATTCACTACCACATCTCTAATTTCTTCAAGCCCTGGCACTAACGTGGCTCCTACCCGCCATCCCCAAGACAACAGCTCTTACTTTATCCAGATAACTGATATCCAGTTTGGATTCCCCAGTCTATGTCTGTGACATAAATGGCCACCCCTGGAGATGTGCAGTGCGATGGCCCAGGTTCCCTCCTGTCCCTGTCAACCTAATTTCTTCACCATCCATCCCTGCACGAAGAGGTGAGACTCTCTTCTTTATGGAGGAAGACCTGTGGCCACTCCAAAGGCAGATCCTTGGGAACTTTCACTGAATCTTATTCACTCCAAAGGCAGATCCTTGGGAACTTTCACTGAATCTTAAATTATTCTCCTTACTTACAGCTTCTCCCCACCTCAGCCTGTCCTAGATATTGTGGCCAGGTTAGCATTATAAGTCAGCCCAGAAACCAACAATGACTGCATGCTATTGACCTTTAATGTTCCATTTCTGCCCCTCCACCTTCTGGTTCCAATCTACCATGTCAACCTACTTCTCTTTATAAATTCTGTGTTTAATCACCTAGAACCTTTTTAATCCCTAAATATAACTCAAGGTTTCTCATCTCTCTGCCCTTGTTCTTTGTTTCTTCCAATCTCACCCTCATTCACTCCGATCTCGATGCAAAACTTCAATCTATCGTTCAAAATTCATCTCAAGGGCCACTTCCTCCATGAAGACTTTGCTGACCTCCCCAATTTGGTGTCACTTGTTCCCTCTTAGAAACCCTAAGGTGTGGATGGTTGCCTCTCTTGTTGTATGTTCTCTATCTTCTCTTACAACAGAGATTCTTAACTCATTCTCAGAGCCACCTGGGGTGCTCTCTAAAATTGTATGTGCCTGGGCCCTACTTCAAAGCTTTTGGCTCAGTAGCTGAATTGGAGCCCACATCTGTATTTTTAATACAGATTCTGATGTAGAGCTGAGACTGGGAATCATTGCCTTATTCTAAATTTTTCCCCACAGAGAGAACAAAGAGGATTACTAGGAAGGATAAATGGAATAGTAAGTTTGAATCAGATCTCTGAACTTCGGTGTCCTTATCTTTAAAATGGAGATAATAGATAATAACCCCTACTTCCTTGGGTTGTTATGAAGCTTAAGGAAGATAATAGATAGTGGATGTCTTAGACAGAGTCCTACATAGTATAGACACCTAACATACATATTTCTCTCACTTGATAGTAAAGATTGCCAGCTTAGCACAGTGGTTAATATATGCTGGTTTGTGTAATTTTAACTTAACCACTTAGATTCAGTGCAATGGGTGTGTAAGTATAGGCATATGTTCCCTGGCTTCAAGCTGTATGGAAGTTACTTCATCATTCTGTGGCTTAACTTTAAAGTACTTCTCTTTCTTAAAAGGGGACCTTTTCAACATTGCTAACTCAATTCACAGAATGGACACATGAACTAGGATGGTCATAATTTTATCACATTCATCATACAAAAAGGATACCACATTAGAGGGTTTACGCAGAGCTTTTACGTATACTATCTCATCTAATCCTCTCGATGCCATAAGAGGGAGACATTAATGTACCAGTTTTATAGATGTGGAAGTTGAGCTTCAGAAAAATCCAGATGATTTGCTAAAAGTTGTATAAGTAGGAAGTGGCAGAACTACAATTTTAATCCAGTTTGTATAATTTTAAGTCCAATGCTCTTTACCCTTCTCCACGACTGACCCCAACAATCACCCTGTTAACTTGATCAGACTGTATAAATATCATCCTAATCATCAAAGTTCAAAAATGCCTAATGCAAAGGACACTTTGCCTTGGCTTATATAAATCAAATTAGCCATATACTTTACTGGGTATACTTCTGAGCTTAGTGCATGCTGATTCCTCTACTGGTTCACATTCCTTATTGGCAAACTCCGACCTATCCTTCAAGATTCAAGCACACACAAACACTTCCAGGCAGCTTTCCTAGCTACCTATGTTCATCCCAACTGGCTAGACCAGTTCTTTTGTTTTTCTCTTTAACTAAAAAAAGACAAACTATATCTATGCATTCAGTTTCATCTCTTTAACCCTAAAAAGCAAAACTGAGCTATGAAAATACAACTTGTTATCTCTGCTGTGGACCAGCACATCAGATGATCAGACTAGGTGGCTATCTACTGGTGGTGGCATTAGGGAAACAGAACTATCCTCCTTGCCTTGATTGTATTATTTCTATCCGAAACTAAATTTTCTTCATCTTCTTACTTGCTCTGAAATTCATTTTATAGGGAACAATGCCTTTATTTTTAAAAATTTTGTTTGCTTGGTTTTTTTCCTAGTAAGAAATTGACCTGAAAGGAAATAGCCCCTAAGTTCACACTGAAGTGTAAATGACTGATAGCTGATCAGGATTTTCGGGAGGGTCAGGAAGGGGGCCTGCAAGAATTCTGGGTTTCAGGCATCAAAAGGGGTGAAGTACAGACACCATGCAGGCAGGTAGTGATTAGTTGTGAAGAAAAGATTCAGAAAGCAAAAGCCAGAGGCCCTGGAAACAAATGTGGCTGGACCTATTGTCAGGGATCCAGACCCAACAATTCTGTTTTTCAACACATTTATACCAATGCCAAAGAACTGAGATCACCAAAGTGTTAAATTCTTATCTAAATCACTCACCATTATGTTCAAAAGAAAGTGTATTTATAAATCTTGTAAACAAGTCGGTACTTCAAAATAATTCAACATAGTGTAGATCAATGTTAAGGCATTCTTGTTTAGTAAGAAAAGGTTTTTTCACTAAAGACCTAATGTGGGGGAAGCCACGTTATGACTAACTTGTGCACCTAGGAAGGGTTAACATGATCATGACCTTAGAACATCTTGAACAAGTTGGAGGGGAAATGCTACCACATGTGTACAAGAATGGATCACCACATTTCTGCATGTCCACTATCTATTTCTCCTTCAAGGTCCAGTTCAAATTCTGCCCCCATCATGAAGCCTTCCTTGATTCCACACTTCCTACCCTCCACCACCACTATTGTTTTTTCCCTCCAGACTCCCACAGCATTTCATCTGAATTGCAATTAACTTATATTTAACAATCAATTACCTATCATAGCACCTGGCATATGGCGATGTCAGGAAATGTGTTTTGAATGAATGCAGGAATCTACATATGAACACTAATCTTCTGCCCAGATATGTTCTAACCCAAGACACACTTCTTTAGATTGTTTACAACGATTGTAAGAAACAGCAGGAGGGAACTGAACTACTTACCCCGGCATCTCAAACAAAGACATTATTGACATTATGTGACATATACATTACATATCATACATGTTGACATATATTTATATACAAGATATCTGCCTTTCAGAATACATATAAATATATGTAAATGAATATATACAAAGACTGTATGGTAACATGACCTACATGCATGCAGAGTCAAAGCGAGTGGGAAGAGGTGACATGATTTGAAAAGCATGCCCAAGGGCCCTGACCAATATAGCCTCGTAAGTAGCCACATTGTCTGCAAATTCTCTCTCAGTGTCATTTTCCCTAGGGAACATGCGACATCTCATTCTCTCTCCCTCTGGTCTCCTCCATGAACACAGGCAACATAACCCAGTTGTCACAGGCCTAGAGCTACTGCTCCATTATGGACCAGTCGGACATTCGAGTGGAGACTATAGAACAGCCAGATATAGCAGCTGCCAGCTCAGTCTCTCTAAACATACCACCTGGGATTGAACTCTGGTTCCTTCACAAATTGAGCATATGACCTGTACAAATCATCTCACTTCTCTGGATTTGATTTCATCTGACCTCCCAAGGCCACATGAGGATGACTGGAGGTAATATTTGTACAGTATGTATGTCTGGGACATAATAAATATTCAGCAAACATTTATTATTATCATCATCAGTATTGCTTTCTTCATCTTTTCTGTGGAAAACCAGCTCATAAGCTGGAGATAGATATTCTAATACATCGATGCCAAAACCACATCCTCCAGAAGCTGCTCCAAGACCCCCATACAAATCTTGCTTTGTCACAACACGCCCAGGCACACTCTCCTCACATACAGCAAGGGTGGGTAAGCACAGAGATTCTCAAATTGGGCTCCTTAGTCTCAAGATACCCGCCACTAAGCTAACAATATCCCCCTGAGTAAATTAATAGAGCCTCAGCATCTTACAAACCCACAAATGCAAACCCGTAGATAACTGCTGTTCGTTAACTTTGGGATTAGTCTCTTATTCCTTTTCCTTGACCAGACAATTTTACAAAAGTAAATATCTTACTAAAAACCCTCAAAGCAAAGAGTAGCAAGTTTACAAATACTTTATTTCCTGTGGGAAGAATCCTCCATTTTGGGGTACTAAATCACATTATAACATTGCAAAATTGTCAGAGTGTAATTAACCTGTGTTTCTTCACATTCCTGATGTGGCAACTGTTTAGGACATGGCTTTATAAGGGACCAAAAGAGAGCAGTGAGGAACACATGATGCTGTAAATGTCAGGGCACCCACCAGGGGAAGGACCAGAGTGGCAGAGAGGAAGGCCAAGAGAAGCAGAGTTTGGAGGAAAGGCCATGTTCAGACGAAAGATGCTTCCACTTCTGCTCTTATTCCACATGCAGTTTTCCAAGGCCTTTCCAGTACCTTCTACATTCCAAGAAGAGAAAAGTATACACGTTGTTCAGGTAAATTGACAGTTAGGTGGGTGGTTAATTGATTTGCTGGTTATTAGGAAATTACATTGGTTGTGTTCTCTTGTTAGTTAAAAACAGCCTGAAAGAAATTTTGTGGGTGATTTGTTTGAGTTTGAACATCTCGTTTCAGTGATTTGGAGGGTTCCAAGTTGGATTCTCTCAAAACCAGGCATGAAAACAAGCTAGGTTCTTCAGACCCTGGGAAAATACTGCTGCCAAGCTGCCTCAAGCTGGGGAATACGTTTAGAAGGAATGGTTTTAATTACAAAACTAAGTGGTTTTCTTTTTTACTTACCTAAGATTTTCCCTTCTAGAATATCTGCAATCTGGTTAATACATGTCTAGTGCTTTCCATATGACTTGTCTTTGCAGCCAAAAATGCCAGGTGTACAAGGGCACATGAGGATGGGAAACTATAAGGAATAAAAATCAGTTTAGAGTAAATCAGATTTCTTTACACCACATTATGGGGCTGTTTATAAACTCTTGGAAGCACTATAAAAGCAGAACCAGTAGTTTTTTTCCATTGTTTCACAGTATGAACATCAGGCCCAATTTTTAAGAAACACAAGAGAAGGCTGTCACAAATTTGTCATGCACAATTTTCTTAGCATTACGGTTTTAGAAAAGCATTATTCTTGTTTCTTTTGTTTCTTTTACCTTTTAAAAATATCTCCTACAATGGTAATAGTAATCTCTGGGCTAATAGCTAGAGTTTATTGAGTATTTACTCTGTACCAGGCATTCTGCTAAATATTTCATAAATATTATCTCATTTCATCTTCATGACAACCCCGTGAAAGTGGTATTATTATTTCCACTTTAGAGATGAAAGTGAATCTTAAGTCAGTTAAATGATATGTCCAAGAACTCAATTTGTAGCAGAACTTAGATTTGAACCCAAACCAATCTGAGAGCATGGAAGTTCTCTGTCCTGTGTCACTTGCAAAGTGCCAGGTGTTCACAGGATGCTTAAGGTGAAAGAAAAAGTCTTATGATTAACGCCCTTCAGAACCTTTACTTCCTAATGAGTATCTCCCCTTTCAAATTGCTGCTGAGGTGGACAAAATGCTAATGGCAGTGGTGCTGTGGTTTGAGTTCTTTTGAAATTGTCAATTCTCATTTGAGAAGCAATGCGATGAGCTAGGACCTGAATTGTCATCTCAGCAAGTTCCAATAGGCACTCTTCTCTCAAAGTCAACCTATGAGTTAATGTTTTTGTTCCTGTGACTATCAGGTTATTAGACTGTTATAAGTCTGCAGAAACTTAAAAAGAATGCAAAATGCCCCGAGAATCAAAGGTAATTCCACAGCAAGTTACCTTCCTTACATATTTGTCTTTGTCCAGAGTTACCTAGAACACTTCTACCAGTTGCCACGAAACAGCTCTAAATTTGAAAGGAAAAATGGCACTAGTGTGATTGTTGAAACACTCAAAGAAATGCAGCGATTCTTTGGGTTGAATGTGACTGGGAAGCCAAATACGGAAACTCTGGAGATGATGCAAAAGCCTCGCTGTGGAGTGCCTGACCATGGCGGTTTTCTGTTAACACCAGGAAATCCCAAGTGGAAACAAACTGACCTGACCTACAGGTGACATTTCCATTTTCAAAATCCATTCATTCATCCAGTGTTTATTGAGCATTTATTATGTGCCAGGCACTGTTCCAGGACTGGAGATACACCAGGACAAATAAATAAATATCCCTGCCCTTGTAGAGTTTAGATTCTATTGAATGAGTATGAGATTAAAAGGGTAAACATCCCCTGGGTTCTCTTCACCATTTTTGTTTTCCTTCTCTAATAACCCAAGGAAGACTATGGCAATGTGACAGCCTCTATAAGAACTCACTTAACACTCCCAAAATCCTTATCATTGCTGGAGAGAAACTAGCCCCAGCTTTTGTGCAGCCAATAATAATAATAATAATAATAATAATACCCAATATTTATCGAATGCTACTATTGGCCGCATAATGGACTAAATGTTTTACATGTATTTAATCCCCTACACCAACCCTATGAAAGGAGTAATATTTTACTATCCTAATTTTATAAATAAAGAAATTGAGTTTAAAGATATGCAGTAACTTGTCCAGAACCCATGTCTGTCTTCAACCCTGAGCCCTGTACTCCCTCCTTATACCCTCTCCAGTGGTAGCTTGTCACATATGTAACTCACTCCAAAATGGAGAAACACAATCTGTTGATGGACTGCTGTTCTGAACAATTATGAGCCCTTCACATATATTCTCATTTTGAAGGATTATTAACTATACCCCTCAACTGTCAAAGGCTGATGTGGAAGCAGCTATTGAGAAAGCCTTTGAAGTCTGGAGTAACGCATCACAGCTGACCTTCACTAAGGTCTCGCAGGGAGAAGCAGACATCAATATTGCTTTTGCCCAAAGAGGTGAGCTCGAAGCGGTCATGCTCAATTTTGCTTTCTCTGACTAACATGAGACTTGGCAAAGGCCTAATACAAATTGTTTTATTTCAGCTCATGGTGACAATTCTCCATTTGATGGACCCAATGGAATCCTTGCTCACGCCTTTCAGCCAGGTCTGGGTATTGGAGGAGATGCTCATTTTGATGCAGAAGAAACATGGACCAAAACCCCCGAAAGTAAGTTAACCAAGTTTAGGTCAACTTGCAGCTTCTGAATAAACATTTGCCACATTATAATTTACCCTTACATGCAAACACACACACACAATTTTTTTGTAACACTTCAAACTCACACAAACTGACCATTTAAATTTTTGCTATCTCAAGATACTAAGTCAATTTAGGTTTTTTTAAAAAAAAATCCTGAGGCTAATTACTGACCTTGTTTCCTAGGGCAGGAATCAGAAAGCTACAGACTATAGTTAAATCCTACCTGGCCCTGTTCATGTAAATAAAGTTTTACTGGAACAGGACCATACTTATTTGTTTATGTATCATCTATGGCTGTTTTCATGCTACAATGGTAGAGCTGAGTGGTTGTGACAGAGACCATATCACTCACAAAGCCTAAAATGTTCACTATCTGGATCCTTACAGAAAAAGTTTGCTGACCACTGACTGTCTTAGGGTTTATTATTCTTTTAATATTCTAAAATTTAATGATGTTTGAAAAAAGTCCTATTTTAGGAAATTCAGAAATAATTGAGTTCATTTAGAAAACCCTCCTACATAGAAAAGAGCAGCCATCTTCTTTTTTATCTAGTTATTTTGTCTTCACCTAGCTCTTTTTCAATCATATGTTCCTACGTAGCAAACCATCCCTTTCAGAAGACTCAGAATAAGAAGAGTTGACCAACTGAAGGGAAGAACTGAAGATAAGGACAGGTATACCCAGTCCATGTGGTACTTCACAAGGCCATGAGGTGACAGTATGTCACAGAGCATCTTTTAGAAAATAATAGAAAAGGAAACTCTTACCTTTCTTGGCCTTGTTTCTCCCTCCGTTTCCTCAACATACATATTGTGTTTATTATACCTAAGTCCCTGTGCTAGGCGCTGCATGTACCCAAAGACAGATAACATTCTCCACTACTTTGCATTTCTATTGTTCTCCCCACTAGTGTAGACGGTCATTACCTCTGATTTGAATGAAATGATCCAGACTCCCACCTAGCCTGGTCACCTCCAATCTCTGCTCTCAAATTTTCCCCTATACTTCAGCAAGGCTTGTCTTTGGAAAGCCCATCTGGGATTAAATTAGTCCCCTGCTGAAAACTTTCAGTGTTTACATTTTCTGAACCAAATAATGTCCAAATACTTTCACTTGGTGCTGAAGGTTCTTGGTGATTTTCCAACCTCATCTTTCATGACTTGTCTTCATATTTCACATACAGCAGACACATTGTGCATTCACTATTCCTAGATCACACCGTGTGCTTTTCAATTTCTCAATATTTGCTTACATTGCTTCTTCTTCCTAAAATACCCTTCCCCACACCTCAAACCCCACCTTTCAAAATTTCTTTCTTCCTATGCTATCTCGAATGCCAACCTGTCTTATCTGTCAGCCTGAAATGAGGCCTTCCTCCTCAGAATCCCAACAGCCTTTGTTTCTCCTTCTCTAGCTGCTCTTCTCATTATTCTGTGCATTCAACTTCTTGCATCTATCTCCCCTTCCAGACTATTTGTCATAATAACCCCCCAGAACCCCCTCTCAAGGTACTCCAGGCACTCAAAATGGAAGGATATAGTGATCAAGAAAGCAAATCTTGGAGCATGGGTAGAATTTTACAAGGCTACTTATCAACAGGAAGTTGAACACTGCGGTAAGAGTACAAGTCTTGCCATCATACCTGGGGTTTGACCCCAGCTCTACCACCTATTAGTTGTAAGACTAATAACAAGATATTCAAAACCTGTGGGCTTCAGTTCCTTACTGTAAAAATATTTCTGACAATACTTCATAAAATGGATTAAATTATATTACCCTTCCTAGCATATAGAAAGCACTCTACAACTATGATTTAAAATGTCCACATGTGAGAAAATGCACAGTGTGTTCGTGAGGTGGCACATAGACTAGCGGAATGAAGGAGTCACATCAGAAGTCAAGCCCTCAGATATCTGCTGGAGCCAAGCAGAGGGACCTTGGACTTAGCAAAGGTTCTTAGGCTTTATTTGATAAGAAGTACAAGCCTTGGAAGTACTTAAGTTCCCAGTTGTGAAAGGCACTATGTTCGTATAAGTTAAAAGGTGAGAGAAGGGAGCAATAAGAGGGAGGGTTTGTCTCCTTCTGGTAGCTGCTTGGAGAGCTTAGAATCAAGGAAGAGCTGGTGTGAGGCTATGGGTGATAAGTGAATCAGCTCTGCATCTAAGGCTACTCTGCTGCCTGGCAGACTTTTCATCTTACTCTCTGTTTATTGAGACTCTACTAATGGGGCTGAGGGCCTGGGAGACTGGAGAGGAGTATGAGTGGCTGCACAAGAGGAGAGGGCTTCTGAGAGTCACAAGACCTCAGAATGGCTCTGCCATCATTTCTCTAAGCCTCAGGTCCACATCGATTAAATACGAGAATCAGAATAAAGGCAGTTTTTTCTTGATTCTAAGATTTCATAAGAAGCTCACATTCATCTAATCTCAACCTATAATGCCTACATTGATTCCTTTTAATCTTCATTTCTTCAGGTACCTGAAGGAAAAAAGAGAAAGACAGACATGGGCTATCTCTCCAGGCTATATCTCCAGGCTATATCTCCAGAGTTATATCTCCAGGCAGTTTTGGGTTAGAAGCCACATTCCTTGAGAGGACATTTCCACCACACTTGGATACACTTGGAGCCATTAACCACACATGCTTGCATTTCAGATTACAACTTGTTTCTTGTTGCTGCCCATGAATTTGGCCATTCCTTGGGACTCTCTCACTCCTCTGACCCGGGTGCTCTGATGTATCCCAACTACGCTTACAGCGACACCAGCACCTACTCACTCCCTCAAGATGACATCAACGGCATTCAGGCCCTCTATGGTAAGGTCATCTGAAGAACACTGCAGCACACGGTGAGACCTGGGCATGCCAATGGTGTTTGTTGCAGCCCTCTATGTGGTGATAGAAGTTGGAGAGCACCTGGGAGTCTATGGGGAGGAGAATGTGCAGGTAGAATGTGCTGGATCCATGCCACAAAGTGATGTGCACTTAGTGAGAAGCACTAAATTAGATGAACATATGGCAACAACATTGACCGGTCTTTAAAACATTGCACTTCATGGAAAAGAAACAGAATGATACATATTACACAGTGTATGAATCAAATTACACAAAATATGAATCTACGCAACTTTAAAATGTACTTAGACAAAGACAGGCATTTTCAAGAAACATGCTAACAAAAAGGTATATATTGAATACATTTAGATGGTTGTCTGTGGGGTAAGGAGGGGAATGGGAATGGAGTATGGAGAGAAAGTAACATTTTTTAAAGACATGACAAACTTTCCAGGGAGGGATATAGAAGCCTTTGGTCTTGTTATAAGTACACACTATCTGGGTAAGACCAGTGCATTTCTCTTGCCCTCTAGTGGCTGTGAGTAAGAACATGAAAACAGAGAAGCGGTTTGTAGCTCTAAAATTAAAGTATTGAAGGGAGTGGAATAGAGAGGAGTGGAATGGAAGACAGTGGAGTGGAGTGGAGTGGAATTGGGGAAAACGTTCTGCCCTCTCTGATGGGACAGCATTATAAAACCAAGTGTGCCAGGGCACCACGATTAGGGAACTTTTTCACCGTAGTATTTTTAGGAATGACAAGACCTACTCTAACTGTATTCCCCAGCTCCTCTCCCCCCCAAAACACTTCTTTCCTTTGCTCACCAATGTTTTAAATTCTCATAACTATTAGTATAGCCCTTCATTCTACAATGAGAAAACAAATTAAAATATTGCTAAAATTTGACTTAGATTTATGCTAAGAGGTAAAAGACTGATATCAGCTCCTTTCCTGAAGCTGGATTTTGGTGGGGAAGTAGAAACTGGATAGTAAGTGATCGAAAAAGCAGAAAGAGGAAGCAAGAGAGGGGAGAAGGATGGGATTAGGATTTTAAGTGAGGGGTCATAGAATTCTAATTTCTTTACTTCACAGTTTAACCTGGAATTGTCTCTGAAAATCACTATCACTCATATTTAAAAAAAAAAATTAAGAGGGCCAAATGTGCAGTTACTTTGATGCCTTGTGTAATAGCCTGGTAGCATTTCTCCTCATGTGAAGACCCCTCACCATCCTGAGAAGTACTGAAACACAATTAAAAAAATCACACTGGACTTATGCTTATAAAAAGCCTTTTTTTTTTTCAGGTCTTTCAAAGAACCCTATCCAACCAACTGGACCAAGCACACCCACAACCTGTGACCCCCGTCTGACATTTGATGCTATCACCACACTCCGCGGAGAAATATTTTTCTTTAAAGACAAGTATAAGATTAAACTATTCCTTCCTTTGGCTTCTTTTGGCATAACTTAGAACTGGATTCTAATTAAGTCACACATTACACATTACTTAGCTTTTCCTTTGAATTCTACACATATGCATCTTGTTGGAATGTACAGTGTTTTCTGGGTAACTGGAACATCCAGGAAAAGAAAACTGAAACATTCATGAACATTCAGATGTTTGTGGTGACGTAAACAAAAATGGGTTCTAGCTGCTTGGGAACTCCATAGCCAGGTTCATCTGACACCAAAGCATCATTCAGTTCCACCCAAATTCAGTCAAGTAAATGGAAATTATCACTTAATAAACTGCAGGGCAAATCATCTAAGTGATTGAATTTTTCAATATTCCATCAGCTATTTTGTGATTATGTAATCACAGGCTGAGTGTACTTGTATTGTTTTTGCTGAAGTGTTCTAAATATTCCCATCATTTAGGAATATGAATAATAAAAGAGGAACGATAATAAAAGAGACTACTTATTTTAGTCTCTTTTTTATTGTAGGAACAATAATAACATTTTAATTATTTTAAATTAAAATTTTAATTATTGTAGGAACAATAATAAAAGAGACTAAAATAAGTCTTGTCAATGTATGAGGAGAGAACAGTGCAAAAATGTAATCGGATAAGGTCGCTCCTATGATCCCTTCTGAAAATAGTAAAGCATTCACCAAATGGATAATATCACCATAAAGCACGGGCCATCTGTTGGTCACTGCTAGAAACTTTGCATTCATTATGTTGCCATATCCTCTCAGCAATCTTAAGAGGGCCAGTACTAGCCCAAAACTCACAGAAGCTGCCTACTTAGATTACATTGTGTGTGGTTCTCTCTCTTGTGTTCCCTTAGATACTTCTGGAGAAGGCATCCTCAGCTACGAACAGTAGAACTCAATTTTATTTCTCTATTCTGGCCAAAACTGCCGAGTGGTATACAGGCTGCTTATGAGGATTATGACAGAGACCTAGTTTTCCTATTTAAAGGTGAGTGCTTAGAGTTTTCATCTCATTTTAATTCTCTCCGAAGGGAGGAGAAGGACTTCTCTGTGATCCCTATCAGGTTCAGAGAAGGTGAGCCAATGAGAGAGTGTTATGCTGGCCAGGCTTTTATCTAGAATCCTGGGTTAGGTCCCAGCTCTGTCACTAACTACTGTGTCAACTTGAGCCTCAGTTTTCTCATCTACAAAATGAAAAAACATTAATAGGCCACTTTTAATGTTTCTCCACTCTCATCTCAGATGTAATTTTCTAAGATTCTCCAAAGCTGTAACTTAAGCTCTGTCACATGAGATAAGACATCCAATTATGAGGCCCTAAATGTCAAGCTAAGAAGTCAGAATTTTTTTTATAGGAGCTGGGGAACCATTGGGGCTATCACAGCCCAACGAACTTCACTTTACCACCTTTATCTTTTAAAGACTATTTGTCCCATTTTCATTTCTATTATTAATTTATGCAAAGGCTAAGAAGTGGTCCACATTATTTTGTAGGAATGGAAGAACTTTATCTAACGCATAACCTAAATCATTTGCAGGCAACCAATACTGGGCCCTGAGCGGCTATGACATTCAGCAAGGCTATCCCAAGGATATCTCAAACTATGGCTTTCCAAGCAGTGTCCGAGCAATTGATGCAGCTGTTTCCTACAGCTCAAAAACATACTTCTTCATAAACAACCAGTTCTGGAGGTAAGGTAAACTATTTTTTCAACTAGAGATTGAAATCTATGTTTAGTTACCCTGTGTACAAACCACTAACAATCAGGCAGCTGGTTTTAAAAATCTAGGAGATCTTTGATAGGCATTCTTTTTTATAAGGTGATTGATGTTGCTATGACTTTCGAAAATTTCATTTTAAAAAAATTAAAATGCCTGCACAATGGGATTGAGGATTCTATATCGTGAAATAGAGCAAATCTTAATAAAGTACTAGGATGGGATGCAAAGAAAGAATTAGGCTAATTCTCAATTATGAGTTAAATTCTAACATACTCAAGCAAATGTTATTCATATCACCTACAAAATTTGGTACCCAAGTTAGACTTATTATTACATTTATTGAGGTGGGGGGAGAGAGAGAGAGAGAGAGCATGACAGGTTACATACCAATTAACTAAAAGCTCTAGAAAATATAGCTCTTCTTTTTAAAAATAACATTGCATCAGCAATCCAAAGCCTGTTTAGTATTAATGATATCCCTATATCTTATAGATAGGTAGAGAAGTTAATCATTCTTAGTCACAGTTAATAGGATACTGTCAAGACTGAATGAGAAAATAAATGTGAAGGCACTTTGTAAAGTATATGAAATTTAAAGAAAACCATTATCATTATACACTATTTTGGTCTTAAAACGTAGAATATTCTTTTTTCTCGTCAGATATGATAACCAAAGACAATCTATGGACCCAGATTATCCCAAAAGCATAGCAAGTACCTTTCAAGGAATAGAAAGTAGAATTGATGCAGTTTTCCAGCAAAATAGTAAGTAGTAAAAAATACTAGTAATAAATTTGTTTAAATTTTTAAATAACACATTTGCATTTGAATGTAATCTTGGGATAGGAGTGAGGTCTTTTTAATTGAAAACATCTGAGATCTTACTTCCACAGGTTAATCCAATACATTGTCTCTCTCTCTCTCCTTTTTCTTCTTCTTTTTTTTTTACAGACTTCTTCTTTTTCTTCAGTGGACCAAGATATTATGCATTTGATATTAATGGTCATAGAGTCACTAGGGTTGACAGAAGTATTAGATGGCTTAATTGTAGATAAAGTTGAAGTGAAATCAAGTGTATCTATATCCATTTTCTGAATATAAAAGAGAAGTCTAATTTTCATATGCATTACATTGTGTCCCATTTATAGTTTTCTCAATATTAAGTGATGTTGTTTGCTATCACTATACTTATTGGACCCGCCCTCACTAAAAATACATTTAGAGTATTCCACTATTTACAGAATCTGATTTAGTATTTTTATATTCTATCTCAGGTTAGTGAATCTATCACAAAGAGAAGGAGATTAAGTCTTCTCTGTCACCTCAGTATTCACTATTTCATTACTTTCTTTTCTGACTTTAAACATGTCTTATGTATACTGCTATGTGCAATTTAGCACTGGATTTTGGTTAGAAGTAATAATTTGGTTAGAAGTAAGACAGTACCCTGGCCTCTACCCCAAATGTGCTATTTTTCCACTCTTGGAAAGAAATATTATTAATAAATGTTATGTTATGGGTTGAATTGTATCCCCGCTAAAGAAGATGTTGAAGCCCTGACCCCAGGTACCTATGAATGTACCTTCTTTGGAACTAGATTCTTTGCATATGTAATTAGTTAAGATGAGTTTATACTGGAGTAGGGTGGGCCTAAGAACTGCAGTCTCTATGAGAAGAGGAGAGACATAAACACATAGTGGAGAAGGCCACGTGAAGATAGAGGCGAAGGAGATTGGAGTGACACATGTGCATACCAAGAACTGCTGGAAACCACCAAAAGCTAGGAAGAGGCAAGGAAGGATCCTCCTAGAGCCTTCAGAGAGAAGAACACGACCCTTCCAACATCTTGACTTTGGACCTCTAGCTTTCATAACTATGATAGAATAAATTTCTGTTGTTTTAAGTACCAAGTTGTGATATTTTGTGACAGCAGCCCTAGGAACTTAATACAGTATATCTGCACTTAAGAAAAGGAATGAACACAGAATGACAAAGTTGAACCCTGAGTAAGAATTAATGGCATCTTTCCAGGAGAGGAGCAGCAAAAAGGATAGGTACCACTTTCTTTCTTCCCTGTTCCCCATGACCTTTTTCTAGAATCCAAGTAAATGAATTTGCTTTTCCCTGGGATACTCAGGAAGACACCCTCTACAGATAACTAGAGTTTACTGCACAAACAACAATGCTGGGCATGAAAGTCAATAAATCTCACTAAATTGCATTAAATTGAGCTTAGGTGCATAAATTTATTAATGACTCTTTTCTGTTAAAAACTTTACAACTTGTGGTACCATAATGGCTAGTCCAGACATCAAATTCATGTCATATCTGCAGTTGTTAAAATGTAATGTACCTTATTACACAATAAATATGTTGTAAATTATTGTAAATTATATTTATCACTAGCACATCCTATTTTCTTTTTCTGTTAAAGTTTTTAAATCCCACAGATAATTATTATTTAGTATAATTTAGAGCCTTATTCTGGTTCAAAATTGTATGTTAAATGAGTTCAAAATAAATATTTCATTTTAAATGATTGACATGATCTACTATAATTTCTTAGATACTATCACATAGTTCATCTAAAGTATAAAATACAGCAAATTTTGATACATATGCAGTCATTTATTCCCTTGTCAGAATTATAATGTTGATATTTAGCTTTTAGATATTGCTTCATAGGTCATGAAATATTTTATAAACAATGTCCTCAAAAATTACCCTCAAATACGTCAGCACGTAACTCTCATCTTATTTTACAAGATGAGAAAACAGAAACTAGGATAGACTATAATTTTACTCATTTGTTCGTTTATTCAACAAGAATCAGTCACCTACATGTTACAGATGCCGTGCTAAGAAAAGTGAGAAAGATGTATAAAGAATTCATTGTATAAAAGTAACAAGCACACAAAGACCTGTAAGAACTAAATACTAAAAGGTATTTCACTTTTAACAGTACATTCAATTTCAGACTGTCATATTTTCTGAAACTTATGTTAGTTTTTACAGGTATGAAGTTGGGAGATTCATCTTCTCAGAATACCTGCTAATTGTGCCAGCTAGTTATAATAGATTCTTGGCCCAAACCTCATCTATACATTTTTTGAGATAAGAACTAAATTCACATTATTTCTTTAACCATATTTCATTGCCATAGGAAGTGAATAGAAATATGAAGTATAATAAAGAATTCAAAAAATTTATTCCTTTTTAGTTTCTTTTTTGACAACATGTGGTATGTTCTGGCTGTTACATTGAGTTATGTGAATATAAAAGATGTAAGAATCTAAGCTTAGATTTTAAATAATGAGATTCTTTTTCATCTTAGTTTGAGTTCTTTGTCAAAAGCAAAGTCTACGACCTTGGTGCTATTATTTTATTAGGGACATGGTCCGAGGAAGCAAGAGTGAGGTAGCAAGCAGACTGAAACAGAGAAGGAGGAAAAGCCAATACAAGTACGTGTTACTGGTTTTTGCAATGGGGCTCGATTTCATCAGGAACACCTAAGAAGCCTACAGAACACCGTTCAATTGTTTAAACCTCCAGTGAAGAGAAGGTTGAGACATTCATCTTTTAGTTCCCTTCCCCATTGGGTGGCTCTAAGGCATTGATCTGTCAGGCTCTATGGCATCTCAATGCCCTGGGCAGAAAGCAGAAGGACACCCAGTATGTGCTTAAGGTGGGACTTTGTCAGAGCAACGTGAGTTACACAAACTCGTCCACTGCAACTGCAACTAAAATCAGAGGTGTGCCTAGGGCCACCAGAGGCATCTCCTATATCTTTGTTGCTAGGATATTAAAATGATGGAAAATTGAAGGAATTTTCTCTGGAGAAATTTACTAGCCCAAGAAAAAAATGATTTACAGATACCGAACTGTAGAATCTCAAGGTGGCAGAGGCTGCTAGTTGCCTACATTAATAGAATTTTCCCTTTTCTTTGCTGCAATAAGACCCCCAACTTCATTTGAGGTGGTAATGCAGCAGCTAAAAGACTACAGTTTGTAGCCTCACTAACAGCTAGATGTCGCCATGTATTTAATTTCTTGCCAAAATGTGAAAGCAAAATACCATTGGGGCTTCTAGAAAGAGACTGAGAATTTACTTTCTCTGCCTTCCCCTTTCTGCTGCCTGTAATGAAGATACAATCACCAGAGCTTGAGAAGCCACCTGGACCATGAGGCATTGCACCAAGAGAGTAGTGCAGCAAGATAAATGTTGCCTCCATCCCTGATGGTGTGGAATTATTATTCAAGCCTTGGATGAGCCTAGACTTCTGCTACGTGAGGGAAAAATAAATTTTTATTTTCTTAATCCTCTGTTATTTTGGGTTTTCCTACTATAGTCAGCCAAATCTCTATCCAATTAATATATCACGTGAAATTCCTAGAACCCACTCCACTTCGAGGCAGTGAAGTTCATCGATTGACAAGCCTTGCCCATACACACAGCGCTTCCAGTCAGCTTTCTTATCGCTCATTCATAGACAGACTGCACAACACAATCTCAAAACATTTGGGGGGGAAAAAAGGCTTCTAATGTGAACAATAGACACCAAACAAGAAACTTTGAAGAAATAGAGATAATCCTGGGAACAAAAGAAAATGTCTAAATAAAGTAAAATTATACTTAACATTCTCAAAACATAGGTCTATTTTACATCTAAAAACACTAACAAAATACCAAAAAAAATTAAAAAAAGAAGTCCTACAGATACATATTCCAGAAAGAGAAAGAGGAAAATGAGTGGGAAGAAATTATCAAAGAAATTATATAGGAAAGTTCCCTTGAATTAAAGTTTTCATAATGAATGGGCCCACTTACTGCCTAGATATGCCAAAGCAAAAGACCCACATCATTATGAAATTTCAGAGTATCTAAGAGAAGATTTCTGAATTTTTTCAAAAGAAAAACAAAGGAAAATATTAATAATTAGAATAGAAGGCTCCTCAACAGCAACATTAGATTCTAGAAAATAATAAATCAGTATCATCAAAATCCTAAGGAAATTTTATTTCAGCCTGAAATTCCATATCCAGATACTCTCTCAATCAAGTGTGAGGATGGATTAATAAAGGGCATTCCTAGGCATGAAAAGACTCAAAACATTCATTTTCCTTGTACCCTTTCTTAAACCCTCCATCCATACCTCCCATGGCTGTCTACACATATATTTGCTCTGGCCAGACCAAATTTTCTATAGTTCATTTCCACTGTTTTACCTGCTTCCTAATTTCTCTCTCCACCTGTGCAATCCAACTCCTATTCATTCTTTAAGACCCAATACAAGCCTCACCAGTTTAAAGACTCTAGCTCACATACATAAGCAGCGATCTGTCCACCTTTTGACCCTTCTCAGTCTCTAGAATCTTCACTGAGCATTTGCCACTTGCCTCCATTTTGTCTGGCATCGGTGTCTGTATATAACTGAATCCTCCAACAAGATTGGAATGGTATCTTATTCATACTTGTATTTAAAGTGATAGGTGAATAGCAGGTGCTCCATAAATATTTGATGTTTAGTTAATTACGGTGATTCAATTTCTGATTCAACTGTCTTTTCATGATACTATGTTTCCCAAGATATTATAGAGTTTCATTCAAAAAAATATTTTATAAACTCTCAAGAATTTATGAATAAGAAAACCTCCAACCTTGCAAGGACAAAAGTAATTTGGAGGCTGACCTCATATCATATATGATTGAGTAATGAACAATAGCTCTGTTTACTGAACAATCGCAGATCATGATTGCAAAATCAATTCAACCTAATTTAAAAAAAAAAAGGCATACCATGACACACTTCATGGCAAATGTCCTTTTTCTGTTATTAATTAAATGATGATACAAGCCAATTCATGCCACGTCTCACTATTATTTTCTAAATTCTATGCAAACAGAACCAGGCTTCAACTGAAGAGAGAGAGGAATGAAGAGCTTTCTGCTTCCATTTGTGTTCTTTTTAACATTTTCTTCTGCATTCCCTACAGACCGAAAGATGGAAGATGAAGAAAACATTCGACTGGCTCAGGTACTGCTCAGTAAATGTTATTAATGACTATCAATAAAAATTCATTTTACTGATTGTCTTAGGATCTAAAAAGACAGCAAATTCCTACAAAAGAGTCCTGAATGCTCTTGTGAGAAGAAGCTGCTTTTCGTTTCCCTAGTTCTAAGGACATAGAGGAACTGTGTGAGGGGTGGAGAGTGGGGTGTGGGTGGTGGGGGGGGGCAGGCAGGCTTTGCTACAACTTTAAGCAATGCTAACAAGTGAGCTAGTGAGAAAAGAAAGGGAACAGCCCTGCAAGAAATGGAGATCTATATAGAAGCATTTTGAGACCCACCAAGAGGATCCAACTACAATTTAGAGCCCCTTATCTCTCTGTGTATGAAAAATATATTGCTTTGGAAATTCCCTCTAAAAATCAGTTCCGTTACTTTGCCATATTTGGTTAAATCAATTAAATTTACAAAATAATTAATCACCTATGTCTCCTAGAGTTTGTTTCAAAGAAATACCAAAATGAAAGTAACAGTAAAAATATGTAAGATATGTGATCATTTAACACATAGAAGAAGCTTAATTCTCTTCTGTGGAGATTTGGAGTTTTATGAGCTGAGTGGTTTGGCCAAATCTAGTGACACAGTTCAACCAGTTCTTGGAAATTGAAAAAAACAGGATAACTCGTTTTTTCCTATTTACTTCCTTCCTTACTCTTTTTTTCCGTCATTACTCATCCCTCCCACCCATTGCCAAAAAGTATTTCACATGATTTTGTTTTATACTGAGATAGAGATTTGCTCTCCTGTAGTCTGTGCCTTTTTTTTTTTTTTTTTTTGTCTTTTTGGTCAGGCATATCTCAACCAGTTCTACTCTCTTGAAATAGAAGGGAGTCATCTTGTTCAAAGCAAGAACAGGAGTCTCATAAATGGCAAAATTCAGGAAATGCAAGCATTTTTTGGATTGACAGTGACTGGAAAGCTGGACACAAACACTCTTGAGATCATGAAGACACCCAGGTGTGGGGTTCCTGATGTCGGTCAGTATGGCTACACTCTCCCTGGGTGGAGGAAATACAACCTCACATACAGGTAATACTTTTGCCAATTTACTTCTCCTAATCCAAAGGAGCATGAATATAACCTCCAAGGGAAAAAAAAAAAAAAAGTTTATCTTACCACGCACTTCCTATATGCATGGCACTTCATAGATTTCATTTATTCATCCTCCCAACAAACTTGTGATGTAAGCACCACTGTTATTGAAGACTTAAACACAGAGAAACTGAAACAAAAAGTTATTTACTATAGTCAAGGTTACACAGCTCTTACCAGCAGACTGGCTCTGGCACATATGCTCGAATCTCTCACCTCTGCCTCCTCCATATAAGCTCAGGACCAGAAGTACTGCCATCTGAGTGCAGATGCTTGAAGGTATAGATGAAGCATGCTCAAGAGAAAGTGGAAGGACCTTAGAGCACAGCTGGTTCGTGCTAGAGACATGTGTGAGTTAGAGTTGTCAGATCTCAGATGGAACCCGGAGTGAAGTACAGAGTTCGCCACCAGACATAGCAAGGAAAGGGGGCTTGCTCATTGGCAGAAAGAGGCCGAAGTGTGCTTGTGACCTGGAACAGAGTCAGAGACCTTAGCTATTGTTCTAGAGCCCTCCTGGATGACCCTAAAGAGTTTTTCTGATAGTTCTTCATTCATCTTATTGAGTCTTAGGGTTTGAGATAAAAATGGGATTAGCAGGATATGCAATATAAAGAAGAGGAAAATCTTTTTCTAAGTAACTAACTCTTCGTGGCTCTCAAATGAGACTCTTAACATATGACACATGCATGAGACTAATTTCCACAGGCCATCTGAGAAAATAATGTAGTCATATGCACAGCAGACACACCCATGAGATTAATGCTCTCCCACTTAGGGCGTGACCTTAGGGAAGTCATTTAACCTCTTTGAGCCTTATTTGTAAAAGTGTTATAATCCTACCTGAATAGTAGGGCAGATGAGAGATTTGAAAAAGTACTTTATATAAATAATCATATATTATACAAACGTAAGAATAACATGCATGTATAAATACCGACTGACATATTTTTGTTAATTTTTAAGAATCATGAACTACACTCCAGACATGGCACGAGCTGATGTGGATGAAGCTATCCAAAAAGGTTTAGAAGTGTGGAGCAAAGTTACTCCACTAATATTCAGTAAGATTTCCAAGGGGATTGCAGACATCATGATTGCCTTTAGGACCCGAGGTAAGGTTTACGACAGAGATAAAAATATGTCTATTTTCATCTCAGGAACTTTAAAGAGCCTGATCTTTTCCCCCTCTATGAACTATATCTTTAGTCCATGGTCGGTGTCCTCGTCACTTTGATGGCCCCTTGGGAGTCCTCGGCCATGCCTTTCCTCCTGGTCTGGGTTTGGGTGGAGACACTCACTTTGATGAAGATGAAAATTGGACCAAAGACGGAGCAGGTGAGCTCAATTTTCTTTATGAACAAAATTGTCTTATTCTAAAGAATCTCTAAAAAGAATAACTTTGCAAAGAGTTGCTTTTTACTTCCCAATTTCCCCACAATTTACTGTATTTCAAAATGACACTGACAAAAGTGTTCAATATCTATTCAGACAATTGTGCTTATCCATACAACACCCTCATAAAGTTGCTTATACTGTTATAATCATAGCATTCTTCACTTACTCATATATTCATTCATACACCCACAATGCCCGAAGGCCCACCGTATTCCTGGAACTATGCAAGGCGTTGTACAGACCACATAGTTGTACTAGAAAAGTTCCAGCCCTTCAGAGGTTCTTGATCTTATGTGGTATATGAGGCCTAGATGCACATACCACCATACATGGCAGAACATGCTGCGTGTTGTACCAAAGGTAGAAGTCATCTGTGGGTGAGAATAAAAGAAGACTCTAGGGAGGTGGCAACTTTGAGTCAGTGATTGAAGGATGGTATGTGAGTTCATGGCCCATGAAAGGTCTATTTACAAGCATGAACTTCCTCTTCTAACTCTTGCCTATCTGCCAAGAAATTAGACCTTAATCTTTATATTTGTCTTATTCCTTAAGACCAAGTCGGTTGATTTTATTTCTCCTAAAGGGTTTGCCTGGCACTAAAATGGGAAACACATTATTACTTTTTATACACACACAAAAAACTTTACTACACTAAAATGATGTGCATCAAACAAAGGAGCTCAGTGGACTCTCGGATTCTCCACACTCTTTTTTCCTTCATTGAAAACAGTCATCTTGGGTCTGGTATCTGGTGTCCAGGGTCCCTGGAAAGCAGAGACTGTGGCTCTGCTGATAGGTGGTATACAAGGCCACTGTTCATTTTTGACCAAGTAGTTCCAGACAGTCTGTAGGTCACTTCTATAAGTTTCTGCAAAATTGAAAACCAATGACTCAAAATGGTTCATGACCACTCGTTGCTAAGACTGAACATGTAGTGCATTTGTTCTTCCAAGTGCTAGTGAACAAAGAAGGTAAATAAGTCAGTACTGGCTGGACTTCAGGCACCAGGGGAAGTCTGGGGTTTGTTGCCGCCATTGCCACATACATTAGCATCACAGACAAGAGGATACAGGAGACAGGGACACTGTCATCTGAATGACGGAGGAGTTGAGTAGACCATTTCTGTTGTGTCTCTCCTACTGAGACATGTCCCAGTTCTTTGGATTTGGCCTAAAGGCAGTGTGGATATGTCCAATTGGGCAGTTATAGGAAATATCCTAGTGTTTGACAAAATCAGGATGTTTCAGCTTGCTCGGCCAGATTTTATTTTCATATCTAGAGGCAGATTTTAGTCAAAGATTTTACTGTCTTTTTATCCGTATTAAATCCAATACTTAGTAGTAATTATCATTACCATCTGCCAAGAGGGATAGGTGGGACAGAGTTCTTATTTAAAAGTCCAGAGAGTTCTGGGCCCCAAGTTGGCAAAACTTGCTTGCGCAAGGCAAAGGATAAATGGAATCCTCCACCAAGTTCTGGGCAGATGACCAGGAAACAGGTCCCCAATGGGTTGTCTTCTCAAGGCTTTACTATATTCCCTCAATGTATAAATTGTGGATTCCAGAGGACACTCAATTGTATGACTCTTAGCTCCCTGACGTAAAGGGAAAAATGTCTTCCTGTTCTCTAATAAAAACAAAAAACCTCAAGCAAACGTATTCTCCAATCACAGAGATTTTTTAATAGAAAATTTGGCAATAATTTATGATAGATGATTACCTCTCTTATTGGAATATATAGAGTCTCTGTGGAAAGGGCACAAACGTTTTATTGTAACTTGCTTAAGAGCAATAGGCTATAGTCATCTGCTAATCCCACTGCTTCCTAAAGGAAGGAAAAGTCATTGAGTAGTGATGGCAGAGGGGTTTGAGTACATGTAGAGATTTTCCTGAGAATCTCCCAAAGGAAGGCCAGTATCAAGCCTGTATGGGAATATGTATGTGCTACACACACATGTGCACTAAACAACTGAAACAGACCTTTCAGATGCTACAGGTGCACAGTGTTGCAATGTGGAAAGAGCAGTGGTCTATGGTTTGGCAGGCTCTGGTTTCTTTCAGGGCTTCCCATTTACTACCTGAAGGACCCTGGGCAAGTGAATTTTTTAACTTTATGTTTCTTTATCTGTAAAATAAGGATAATAATGCCATTCTTGCAAGAAGATGACACAAGTTACCTGTAATAAAGGTAAAAAACACCTTGGAAAGCACTAGTCCATAGTGAACATTTAGAAAGTTCTTTACACTGATGATTACATTGGTAATAGTTAATATTGAGGATGATGATGATTAAAGTGATTCCCAAGCACAAGAATAAATATTCACAAGTTACCAATGTATAGTGTAAAAGTTTACCTATTTAGTCACATCTCCAAGAGGGCAGAGATATTATCTTTTTCCTACAGTATAATATGGCCTGTAATATTGTCAGCACATGATAGATACTCTACAAATATTTAGTAAATGAAATCATTCAACAATCATTTACTCAACATCCACTCTGACCCAGAGTCTGCGATAGAAATGTAGTCTACAACAGTGCACAAGACACAGACCCTGCCCTCCAGGGGTTTACAGCCTAGGGGATACACTCTATCAAAAGGCAATTCAAATCAATATGATCAACACTTGAATAAAGGGAACTATGGCAATGTAATAGGAGCACATCAAAGAAATTCCAAACAAATACAGAGGCCAGGGGAGGAAGTGATGCCAAACCTGAGACCTGAAGGCTAAGCAGGAACTCAGATGGCAAAGTGGGATAAAGAGTGTTCTAGGCAGAATAACCCAACCTACTCAAGTATTAGAATTGCGATGGAAGAGAAGGCTAAAATGGTGAATAGGATTCATATTATACAGAGTCTTGAAAGCCAGGATAAATGTCTAGACTTCATTTAGATGACCTGAGTTTGAATTCTTTTTCAAAGAGTCATTTGTCCCATCTCTTGTCCAAAAGCACAACCAATGATACTGCCAACCAAATAAGAGGCAGCAGCCAATGCAAGAACAGAAAAGCATGAAAGACCATGAAATAATCCTTTGCCATTCCATGTGCGTTTTGTGCAAATATCAATGGACAAATCTCCATCGTGTAAGGCTCAGCCTTTACCCTAGGATCCACAGACTTAGCTGTAAGTCTAAAAACATTCTTTTATATTTAGAACTTTACAGTCTAGGGGTAGAGACAGAGAAATAAAAAAGCAATTCTGCCATGCATGGTAAGACTTCTGGTGTGAATAAGTACAGGGTACAATGGTCTTGTTTAGGAGGCACATCTAACCATTCTTTCATACAAATAAACAACTGGATATCCAGCAACCTTTATTAAGCACTCACTATTAATAAGCTGTTTAGCAGTCACCAGGAATAACAGATGGTTAACACATGGTCCCTGTAATTAAAGAGTGCACAGCTTGAAGACAGGAATAGGCAATGTATGATGCCTTAGGTATTATGACAGAATTAAGCATCGAGTCTATGGAAACCCAGAAAGGTGCATTTAACTCTGCCTGGGTAGGAGCTGGGGGGATAAGGAAAGCTTCATGAAGGAGATGACTCTAGAGTGGATTCCTGAGCAATAAGTAGGACAGTTGGGCAAAAAAGCAGGTAGGAGAGAGAATATTCTAGAAAGAATGGAGATATTAAGACATTGAGATTATAAAGAACATGGCATAGATGAGAAATGCACATGATTCAATATGGCTAGCTCATGGACTATGAAAATAAAATATGAGGCTGGAAAAAAAGCAGGCACTAGATCATGGAAGACCACGTTATGGTATTTGAATTTCATTCTACAGCCAAAAGCAGGCACTAGATCATGGAAGACCACGTTATGGTATTTGAATTTCATTCTACTTATATTTTGACGAATATAAGTAGAAGAAACATGATCACATATAGCATAGCCTAACAACAGCCAAAGCTGGTGACTTCCATTTTTTTTAATACTACCCATTTCTGAGACACTTGTTTCCTACCACCTGCTTACTCTAGGTTATATTTCTCCATGATGTGACTAATACCAATTATTAGTGCTGAAATATTTCTCATATAAATGATAATGGATATGTTGTAGGAATTATCTGCTATATGGCAAGCCTCTTCTTTTCCCTTAGTTACTTCCTAATCTCAGATGTAACAATTCTTCTTTTGAGTGACTCATGTTCTCCCATTTTCTCTGTTTTTGTTAAGGATTCAACTTATTTCTTGTGGCTGCTCATGAATTTGGTCATTCACTGGGGCTCTCTCACTCCAATGATCAAACAGCTTTGATGTTCCCAAATTATGTCTCCCTGGATCCTAGCAAATACCCTCTTTCTCAGGATGATATCAATGGAATCCAATCCATCTATGGTGAGCAACAGTATAAATCTGAATATAGGTGAACTAATTAGGAAGGTTTCCAGAAAGGAAGTTAAGAAAATCCCTTCTTGAAATATTATAATGAAGAAAATATTCGCTTGGGTAAGATCCTCCTGTAGGCATTTCCACACATCTACATTCACTGTGGCATTTCTTTTCTCATCAAAGGAGGTCAACCTAAGGCACCTGCTAAGCCAAAGGGATCTACTGTACCCCATGCCTGTGACCCTGATTTGACTTTCGATGCTATCACCACTTTCCGCAGAGAAGTAATGTTCTTTAAAGGCAGGTAAACCCATTTCCTAAAATATCTTAACTTCCTATGAAGATTTTTCTTTTCAAGATATTTGGAGATAAAGAGGAAGTCATGGGGATAGTGAGAATGGGTGCCTTTTACTTTTCATTTTATAATTACCCACACACTTTGAATGTTTTCCTATGTGTGCATATCTCTTACTTGTTTGATAAATTGATTTTTAAATATTTTTAGCAATTTTTTAAATGGCCATTTTATAAGAAAGTGAAGTAGAGTTTACCTTCAGTGACTTCTTAGCTAAAATAATACATTAATCTCAGTTGGAACTGATTTATACCATTTCAGGTTTCAATTGCTAAATTTTAAGGAACTTTGTGAACCAGTTAGCTTGAAACTGGCCATGGTTGGAATATTTACACCCTGGAAATCAGAAAATGATAAAAATTAGATCTTTTTCCTACCCACAGAGCCAGTTGTTAAACACCTGTTCCCTAACGTTGCATCAATTAAGTGGTAACTATAGTAAGAAATCTCTTCTCTGTGTATATTTCATTGGACTTAAATTGCAGCAGTGTGTCAGCTACATATACCATGAGCGTATTTTTAGAACAAAGTATCAGGACATATACCACCTGGCAATGCCCTTACATAGGGGACAAAGGATAGAATATTTGAAATTAGACTCCTTCCACTCCTAACTACACAGCACTGTAACAACGTGCTGTCACAACCATACTCCTAACGGTATAGGTTAAGAGACCACTAGTCAGAAAAGGGTTGCCAGCATGGGAAGCGAAATAGACTATAAGGACTTTTCAAGTCTCAGTCACAGACTCAAAATTTTACAGCCAGGAAGGAAAATATTTCACCATGCCAATGATAACATTTCTTCATTCTAGCAAACATCGGCACCAAAAAGTTCTTCTTGGAATGCTTGGTGCTAGCTTAGAATGTTGGGGCATTGCTGCTTTGGCAAAAATGAAGCCGCTGGGTATATTAAGAAATGTTTATGAGATTTCCATGGATTGTTTGCTACTCTAAGTACTCTAGAGAGTGAACACAAAGGCATGCCTTCACCAAGATATTCCAAAGGGTAGAACTGAAATCACAGCCACCTACGTTTGCTGAGGGAAATTGTGTTAATGCTCTAAATTATCTGAGGAAAACATCAGTCAGTTAGGTAAAAGACAAGCCTCGGTTTGTAATGTTTTAATTGATATAGATAGCTATAGGCTATATGAGTAAAGTGTTTTTTTGTTTAATGTAGGCATCTATGGAGGATCTATTGTGATATCACTGATGTTGAATTTGAATTAATCTCTTCATTCTGGCCATCTCTGCCAGCTGATATTCAAGCTGCATATGAGAACACTAAAGATAAAATTCTGGTTTTTAAAGGTAACTTTTCCCATCATGATCCCCACCTTCCCTTCCCCGGATGCCTGAACTTAAGTTCCTATTATAAATAATAACTATCCAGGGATTGATTCTCTGTGGCTGTGAAAATAAACACCATTCCAATTATACAGGAGCTTTAAAAAAACTGTATGACAGAAAACTAAAAAAGTCTTTTTTTCTACCATGTAAAGGTAACCCATCTCTCTTCTATTTTCCCTTTTTACTAAGGTTGCCAGATTTTGCAAATAAAAACACAGGAAGTTCAGATAAATAATTTTTAGTATAAGCATATATTGCAGATTTTTGCATTAGCTTATACCAAAAATTAGTCCTTAGTTATCTGAAATTCAAATTTAACTGGTATCTTATTTTTAATCTAGCAACTTTACTTTTTATAAGGGTTTCATCAGATTACTTGCTTTTGAGAACACTTGGGTGCTGAAATTTAGAACATGTCCTAAAACATGTGATTGTTTGTCAGAGTTAGAAAAATAATCAATAGAGTGAAACCAATTGACATGAGTATGCACACTATTAACTATAGGCATATATTATTTGTGTAATATTAATGATATAAGCAGCTAAAGAAAATGGAAAGAATAAATGGAGACGTAAGATTATTAAAACTCTAAGCATTAAACCTGAGAGGAAGTAGGCATCTAATTATTTTCAAACTTCTTAAGACATCTATTTCTCACTCTAGAAAACAGATCAAAAGGTAACCACTTTCTGTCTTCCTAGATGACAATTTCTGGATGATCAGAGGATATGCTGTTTTGCCAGATTATCCCAAATCCATCTATACACTTGGCTTTCCAAGATATGTGAAGAAAATTGACGCGGCTGTCTGTGACCACAACACAAGAAAAACCTACTTCTTTGTGGGCATTTGGTGCTGGAGGTAAGATTACAGACATTTGACCTCTTTGTTATATTCTGGGAAAAAAATATTCATATAGCATCACTTTAAAATAGGCAAAAATAAAACCTATAGTCTTTTTAAAGAGAATTATGTTGATGACAATTTCATGTGGATGACATTCATCAAACAAAAGAATGTTTTAATGAGTCCGAAGATCTTTTCCCCCCTTAAAAAATAAAGATAAAATAATAAAGTTGGCAATGTTAACCAAATTGCCAATGACACAAACATATCTGGTCAAAATCTATTAAAGCCCCAGGCTGAGCCCTAACTTTGATTTAATATTTCCTCAGAATAGCATCAAGCTGACAAATGATGTGGCTTTTTCCCTCATTAATTCTTCTTCTTAAAACATTGTAAATGATTCAACCAAATGTAAAATTTGGCATACTTTTTTTTATTATTGATCCAATTAGTTTTCCTGCACTAGGTCAACTTTTTATCCACATCCCTGCTTGACTCCAAGTTGGTTAGTAGATGAATTAAGCTCCCCAAAACAAAGAACCCCCAAAACTTTTCAAATACATATATCCAGGTATGATGAAGTGACCCAGACCATGGAAAAAGGATACCCACAGAGGGTGGTAAAATACTTTCCAGGAATTGGTCTCCAAGTTGATGCTGCTTTCCAGCATAAAGGTAAATATCAAGGTCAAAACTTTTAAGATACTTTGAAGACTTTACTGACTGTAAAGTAAAACAGCACAAAAACTTAAACATCTCAATTTTAATGTAATGCTACTTCTCTCGAGTACATGTAATAATAAATGTTAACCTTGGGGACATCATCACAAACTGAATTGGTAAGTCCTGAATTATATCCTCTATTTCAAATCTATGTAAAATATACCAAAATTAATTTTTCTTATCATTGATCCAAAATACCCTCTGAAAGACAACCCCTGAAAAGTTTCAAGTGTGAAAAAATGACTAAGCACATAAACTGAACAGTCATTCTCAAACTATAATGTATATAGTTTAATATACAGAACTTAAGGAACTACAAATTCTTCGGTTTATTAGGCAGTGGTATTGTGGGTGAGATCCAGAAACCTACAGTTTTAAAAGAACTTCAGGCAATTTAATGAACCAGCTACTATTATCTTTAAAGAGAAGACCTAGACTGTAGAGTAAATAGAAGTCTGAAAATTTTGGGGAGGAACACAATCTTTTATTCTAGTGACATCTAACACAAAACGTCAAAATCTAAAACATCTCTAAGGAAATGAGGATGTAGGGACCAAGGCCAGACCCACAGGGGCCTTCTTCTCGCTCTCACTGAGACATTCTTTCAAAATCTGGCTTGTGTCTACCGTCAGGCTACCCTGAACAAGCCCAATCCCATCTGATCTCAGAAGCTAAGCAGGGTCGGGCCTGGTTAGTACTTGGATGGGAAACCATCTAGGAAAACCAGGTGCCGTAAGCATAAAAAATAAGGAATTGTAAGATGACAAGGACCTTATAATCTGTGAGGTCAACCAAGGGTTGCCTTGCCTAAAAAAAAAAATTATTTTAAATAAAATAATAAAATAAAATAGTAAAACCTAGTTTGAGAACCTCTGGCATAAACCACAGTCTGGCTAGCAAGGTAGTAAGCCCCTTGAAATTTATGTTTCATACCTCAGCATCTTCCTCAGAGAAATAAAAATAACAACATTTCTCATGGGATAGTAATAAAGTAAAATGTATTTATAATTACACGAGTTTATTTTCTCTCCATAACATTCAATTATTTTATTCTATATTCATAAAATTTAAAAGTAGAGAACCATTGTCTACCTGTCCAAGATAACTAATCATAATTCTCTCTCTCTAGGATTCTTCTATTTCTTCCGTAGATCAAAGCAATTTGAATATGACCCTAAGGCAAAGAACATTACCCGAGTGATAAAAACCAATAGCTGGTTTCAGTGTAAAGAACCATTAAACTCATCATCTGATTTTAGTACCAGAGAGGAAGAAGTATATTCCGGAGGAGTGGAGATGTTGTATCATAAGAATTTAAATGTGCTTATTCTCAGTATTGTTCATGCGCTGAAAAGAATCTACCGTTATCGATAAATTCATAGACCTAAAATAAACCTCAAGAGGTCTTTTACTCTGAACTCTGCTCCAAAAGAGATTAAAACTATTCTTTAATATAGAATTGCCAGTCCCAGTTCTAAATATCTATTGGATAAAGATTCAACATCTATTTTGAGATGCCTGACTCTTTCTATAGGAAGTTATTATGTATAAACAAAACTCTTACTGTACTTTACGCTTATTTCATACTTTGTGGACTTGAAGAAGTAAACCATGTATCTTATAATAACTAAATACTGAAGACATTTATTAAACCAATCTTTAGCTTTCTATTTTGTCTGGACCTTTGGAGTTGGAGAGGCCAAATAAGATGCATCCCTCATCCTGCCCATATTCTGAACTGACTGAGGAATAATATACAGTGGGGAGAACAAAATACCACCTTTATTACTGATAAAGCTTATACTGGAGAATGTATCTGCTGGCAAGCAAATTTCCCAATATCAAATTCTAGAATGAGACATGCTTACCCACAAGTCATGGGAAGAACTGAAAATCATCAAGCCTCCCCAGGAATGCGAGCTCCCTATAGTCTACATGGAGGCCAAAGAGAAAGAAATGAAAATGGAGCTACACGTGCCCAGTTTCTACTTCCAAATTCACCAAATAAATTCTTTTAAATCCCAAAGATAGCAGTGAAAGCCTAGAGAGATGTAGGAAGTGTTGCACGAGAGGTGATTCCCCCAATAATTAAGGAACTAGCAGGAGTAGGAAAGGAGTGGTCCCTCCAATCCCTCAAGCATAGACCAATGCATTTAACCATTCCTTCAAGTTTAAAATCAAGTTTTTTTACACTGATCTCATCTACAAGAAACGTAGAGGTTTCTTCCCTGTGTTTGAGATACATGAGTCACTCGAACCTAAATCTATAGGTGGAAGGTTCCTATCCTCTTTTTTATACCATGTGTTTGTTGTGTTTCTAAATTCTTATGGTTAGGTTTTACCTTTACATCCTCAAAGCTAAATGCTTAGCAAAGCTCTTCATAAATTTTCTGACCCAGAAGAAGGGAGGTTGTTAGTTGAACTTAATTCTGATGAGGTAATAGGTTGAGCAGGTGTCAACCGATAGAAAATAAGCATAGAATTCCTAACATTAGTCCCCTCACTCATATTTTTCCTTGAGTTCAGTGTTGCCAGATCCCTAAAAGAAAGGGGTGTAGAAAAGCATTATTGTATATTTAAAAGAGAAAGTAAATTTTAAGAAGTACAGTTTACCGCCTAGCATATAGTCTTGGCAAAAAAAAAAAAAAAAAAGCGCTGGAATAATCAAATATCCATACACATTTAAAAAAAACCTTCAACCTTACATTCACATTGTTCATAAAAATTAACTAAAAACAAGCTATAGACCTCTAAATAGAAGAATTAAAAATATAAACCTTCTGGAAGAAAATATTTTTTTTTTAATTTGTGACCTTGGAGTAAGCTAAGATTTTTAGATAGAACATAAACAACATGAACCATAAAAAAAAAAAAAATGACAAATTAAACTTCATCAACATTTAAAACCTTTGTTCTTTAGAAAACAATATTGAAAGAATGAAAAGTCAAGCCACACACTGGAAGAATATATCTTCAAAATATATATCTGATAAAGGACTTCTATAAAGAATATATAAAGAACTTTTATGATGCAAAAACAAAATAACAAACAGCTCAAATTTTTTAAATAGTCAAAATATTTGCTATATGTGTCAAATAAGCAAATGAAAAGATGTTCTACATCTTTATCATTAAGAAAATGCTAATTAAAACCACATTAAGATATCACTACATATCCACCAGAATGGTTAAAATTTAAAAGACTGAAAATATCCAGTGTTGATAAGATGTAGAGTAATTGGAACTCTCTTAGAGTGCTAGTGAAAATGAAAAATAATACAGCCACTTTGGAAAACAGTTTGGCCATTTCTTATAAAGTTAAACATACACATACCCTGTGACCCAATGACCCCACTTCTAAATATTTATCCAAGAAAAATGAAAACATGCTCACATAAATAGTTGTACATGAACATTCATGATAGCTAAAACCTGGAAACAATCCAAATGTTATCACTTAGTGAATGGATAAACAAACTGTGATACATCCAGATAGTGGAAAACTACTCGGCATTAAAAAGCAACAAATAACTGATACATGAAAAATATAGATGAATCTCAAAAGCATTATGGTAAATGAATGAAGCCCAACATAAAAGAGTATATATTATATGATTCCACTTATATGAAAAATTAGAAAAAGCAAAACTGTAATGTAGAAAGCAGATCACTAGGGGCCAGAGTGAAGGAAGGGATTAACTACAAAAGAACATGAGTGATGGAAGTGTTCTATGTCATTATGGTGGTGGTGACACTACTGAATATATTTTTTAAGACTACACACAAAATTAGTGAATTTCATTACATATTAATTCTACTTCAATATTGCTGATTTAAAAAGGTAATTGTGCCTTAGTATTTAACATGTAGTAGATTCTCAAATGTTGGTCAAGCTTATTTTGTTTCCTTGCATCTATTCTCAGTTTTGTAACATAAATACCTGTGATATAATTTGGAGAGCATGTGAAATTGCACTCGGATTTGGGAGTTACTTTCTCCTTGATTTTCAAAGAAAAAAAAATTGACCCATAGAGGAGAACTAGACACAATTATAAAAATAATCTTATTTTAAACCCAGTAGAATATCTAAAAACACAGTTTTCCAAGGCATATGTGTTGAATATTAGAGCTATATTAAAGAGTTATAAATATAACCCAGCAGTCAGGTGATATCACTCATCTTTTGAAATTTAAATAAACTTGACTTCCAAAATCCTATGGGGATCTAAGACCTTCCACTGAGCAATTGAGGGAAAAATCATTCTTAATGTCCTTCCACCAACCCACTTCCCAAGTTCTCTTCCCAGTCACTTTTCCCCATACTCAAGCCCCGTTTGACGTCCTCCCTGCTTTGCCTTCTGTGAGGAACCTAATTTCCTATTTTATTATTTTATTATAAAATACGTGTGTGTGTGTGTGTGTGTGTGTGTGTATGTGTGTATACAGCAGTTAAGCAGTACATTGTCCCTTAAACATGCCATCAGGGCCTCCCCTTCCTTGGAAAAGCAGCTTAAGAAGATATTTTTTTCTCCTAGAGAAAAGCACCAAAATGCACTTTCAGTGTGTTTCATAAAGAAGATATTTTCATTTCCCTTTGCTAGCTTGGAGGCCGGGTAAGACTATGGGCTCTGGAGCCAGACTGCTGAGGTTCATGGCCCAGTTCCTCCACTGATTAGCTGTGGAACCCTGGGCAAGTTACTGACTTCTCCGTGCCTCAGATTCTCCATTTGTGAAATGGGAACAGTGAGAGATCCAGGCCCCTCAATTTGTTCAGAGTCTGAACAACTGGTCACGTACAGCACATAGGATCAGTACTTGAGGCATAGTAAGTACTCCATAAATGTAAGCCATTATTATTGTAATTAGGTAAGTTAAGCAACTTATCCAAAAGTATCAACAATTGGAAAAACTAGAAGCTGATCTTAGCGTTTCTCAAAATTGGAATAAAATATGAAACAATTCTTTCCCTGCTGTACCATATACTTACCAGGAACAAATTAACTAGAACAACAAACTTTGTTCCAGTATGCCGTGTCCTTTTCAAAGGCCTACTAAGTCTTGAAAAAAAGAAACAGCTTTAAAAACAAGCATGAACAAGACTATGTTGACAATAGTTTTTCATTTTGGAGATCTGATCAGCTGAGATGAAAGAAAAATGAATTCACACGGAAAGAATGTATTTAAATTTCTTCTTGCCTGGGGACAATTAGAAATTCATCATAACCTTTCTATTGTTCACCATGGGTGGACTTTCCTAAGACTCTTACCTGAATGAATCATTTGTCTCAGAGGAAACAGAATGATCTTTTTTTTTTAGTCTCAAAATTATTTTAAACACATGACACGTCTTTGGTCTGAAATTCAGTCCCTTGTTTGTCTTCAAATACAAAAATCTTAAAAAAGATGATCAGTAACTAAAAAATATCTTTAACATACTTAAATTGGTCACAAAATCATAAAAGTTATTTACTCGCTACCCAGATACCACTATCAATCGGAAATTTCTTTTTTTTTCCCCTGATGTTTCCACAGGGAAATAAAAATTTACTGTTCCTGATATGAATCACTTAGAAGTTGATTTCTTAGGAGAGATGAAGAAACTATGAACGAGATAATTAACACTGACTTTAAGACTTCCTTAAAGTGGAAAGTTACCAGAACAAAAAAGTATTTCTGTCTGACCACTATATATAGTTTCATGCAGTGTTTGCTTAATTGATCTATAAAGTCAGATTTGATTTTAATCTTAAAATGTAATAAATTAATAATTTTCTGTTCATTTTCTCCTGAATTATGGTGTTCAATTTTATTGGCAATAAATAGTGCAAGCATTTATTTTCAAGGTCGTTTTCTTTTTTTTGACAAACTGAGTTAAAAGTTTCAGGTTTCCTGAACTATTTTTAAAACTTAGAAGAAAAAAAGAATCAAATAGGGAGCATTTCAACTAGAAAAATTTATGAAGATGAAACTGAAATTAAATGAGTCAAAAAGTCTTTGGGAAATATAAAGAAATCACATTTGAAAATGAATCATAAATTATAAGGCTCTTCAAATGAATGTGATAGTCTCAGGCGTCTTGTGTTAGAAAATTGTTGAGATGGATTTCAACTTAGATGGCATCTTGTTTTTCACATAACACTTAACTTGGTATTGTAATTATTAATCAGTCTCATTTACTCAATATATATTTGTCCAATGCCTTCTGTAAGTCAGATTCACTGTCTGTTGAGAGATATTCTTTCACTTAACAAATATTTATTGAGTTCCTACTATATGCCAGGTGCTCCTTTAGGAGCCAGGGATATGGTAGTAAACAAAACAGCAGAGCGTCTGCCTTCAGGAGCCCTATATTCCAGTCAAGGTAGAGAAATCATAAATAATCAAAAAATTGTAAATAGGTCAAGGTCGATGAATGCTCTGTGGAAAAAATAGAGTAGGCTATGCCACTGCTA